AAAAAACATGGAAAGATTAATATTTTTCTTTAATTCCATTTTTTCCACAAACTTTTTGAAGTACATTGTATTTAAACATTTATCCAAACCATAGGATTTAGAACATAAAGTTAATGAGAAGACACGGGGTACAAATGCAATTTGTGGTAATGGGTATACAGCCAGTATGAATCTGGTCCCCACATCATGGGCACGAGGGGTGACAATCAGCTTTGTATCTCATGAACATTCATAACCAATAAAAAAAAGAAAAATAAATAAAATGTTCTGCTATTTAATCCCAAGAAACAAAGAGTCAAAAAGGCTTTGGGCAAGAAGGACCATTTTTGCTGTAGTTTGAGGATGAATAGGTCTTTGACAGTGTGAGTAAATTTGCAGAAGCAGGAAAATATCAGGGCAGTATGGCTAGAGAATAGAGGGCAGAAAGTGGTGGGATGTATGCTTAAAAAGATCATTTGGGAGTAGAGAATGTGGGGCCCTGGATTGCCAAGCTAAGAGGTTTATTTGATTTAGGGAGATAATTAAAGTTTTCAAATGTTTGCATCCGATTGAGTGACAAGACCATGGTGTTAATTTTAAGGAGGGAGTTTTTATTTCTTGATACATTTTTCTGAAACTACATAAAAACATGTATCCCATAGGAGACAAAACTGAGAAGTTCTTTGTGGTTTGCTAAGTTTCCCAAAAGCAACATTCTGGTCTACTTTTCTTATCAAAGGTCGAGCCTGCTCAAAGTTATAATATGTCTTTTAATCTCTTCTGGCAGTCTCTGAAACTCTTCACATTTAAAGTAAATATTCATATAGTTGGCAGATTAATGTCTGCCATCTTTGTAATTGTTTTTAATTCATTGTGCTTGTTCATTCGTTTTTATCTGTCTTTTAAAATGTCTTCTCTGGTTTTATTTGAGGAATTTATTATGCCATTTTCTCTCCTCTCTTACCATATCCATTATACTTCTTTTGTAAAGTTTTAAGTGGTTGCCTTAGAGTTTGCAATATACATTTACAACAATCAATATTCACTTTAACCTTACACTACATCATTTCATGGGATGTGAAAGGACCCATAACAGGGTATTCCCAATTCCTCCCTTCCATTGCTTACAACGGTGCTGTCATTTATTTCACTTAACCATAGATCACCAAATACATTGTTGTTATTTTTATTTTGAGCAAATTGGTTGTGTGTTAGATTAATACAGAATAAGAACAAAATTTAAAAATCAATATTTTACCTTTATTTCTTCTTGAATGCTCTTCCTCTTTTTGTAAATAAGGGGGGGGGGGGGGTTTTGTTTGTTT